TTGACCAAAAGGACTAGCAACAGTTATTTAGCTCGAATTGTATTAACTTCTTTTTTTTTGTGGTCACTTAACGACCCTTAAAGTTTTTGAAGCAGGATTACAAATGCTTGGACCCAGTGGTACATGGAGCTGGAGGGGTTTAAGTTCATAGTTACTGAAGATAGAAGATAATTCAGAATTACCACAAAAATAGGTCTTTGGTCCTGAACCGCCTATTGCCAATGAGTTTTTCGGCAATCGCTATTTCGCTATCAATTATGCATATTAAGGCATTCAAATTAAGATACTTTACTAGGACTACCGTACCAACACTGCCAAAGCCTAGTTGTCAAGGTGCCCGTGCCGATAGCTGAATGGTCAACGAATATCAAAAAGTTCCTTGTCGCTAACTATCCCTACCGGTTGGTTTTAAGAAGTGCCATCTCTAGGGATCTCGTTTCTGCGGACGGATCGAGGGACCAAAACAAGGATTCATAAAAACAGAAGCAGGGATAAAAACTGCTTATTAGCGCACAGCAAGGGATGGACTTCACGTTGTGGGAAGAAAGAGAAGCTCCTCAAATCACCGCAGTCAGGTAACTACGGTCGCAGGTAAATACTTCTGTTGGCCAAACCAACCCCAACTAGGGTACTATGGCAAAGCTAGAAAATTGGACGATGCCAGACGCCACTTTTAGTAGTCAAAAATAGTGTCCATTTCCGCTATCAATCCCAACTCAGAAAAAACAAGTACGAGCAGCGCTGTCTTCGGCTTTGCCGAAGGCTTCATACCTTTCATGAACATCTGCAAATTTTAGTTTGACAGTTTACTGATTTTGAATACATCTGCATACATCGATAGAGGAGTTACATACTTATATAAAAAATTGCCACTAAACAATCAGAGGTATGGAGGATATACTTTATATGGCACCAATCTAAGTGATTTTCACTGCTATGTGATCGGTATGTAAACCGGTAACACAATTTATTGGGTTTAGTTTCCTACATAAAGGAGATACATCGCAAAAACTGGTATCTGAACAATCAGTGCTATAGGAGATAAAGCTTATACAGCATAGATTTTGACGATTTTCTCAGTAGACTTTGTATTATTATTTATAAAATATCTTACGAAATTTATCGGTTTTAGCTGTTCAAATAAAGGAGTTTTACAGTAAAATCCCATATCTGAACAATCAGATGTATGGAAGATATATGTTGTATGCATCCGATCCTTGTTATTTTCACTGTAAGTATTCTGTTAATAATGAGTGAAAATGGTGCGAAATTTCATGTTCCTAGCTGCATAAATGGAGGAGATATGATAAAAGCCCTCATATCTGAACAATCAGTTGTATGGGGGCTGCAGGTTATAGTGACTCGATCTTTGTTATTTTCGCTGTAAGTCTTCTGTTGATAATGAGTGAAAACAGCGCGAAATTTCATGGTCCTAGCTACATAAATGGATGAATTATAACGAAAAATCTCATATCTGAACAATCAGTTGTATCAGTTTTCTGTTGATAATTATTGAAGACAGTGCGGAATTTCATGTTCCTAGCTATATAAATGGAGGAGTTATAACGCAAAATTTTATATCTGAACAATCAGTTGTATGGGAGCTATTGGTTATAGTAACCCGATCTTTGTAATTTTCACTGTAAGTATTCTGTTGATAATGGGT